TCAAAAACAATTTCCCAGGACCTCAGTAGACAGAGTCCCCTAGAATCAGCCCAGCAGAGTGACCCTCCATGGGCAGGAAGTTCATCTGTTTTGTTCTCTGGTGTATCTCCAGCACCTAGAACGGAACCTGGCACACAGAAGACTTGCAATGAATAATTGGTGAGTGAAGAAAAATGAATGTACTTATGACAAATACTCAACCATTGTAGGTAGTATTCAAAGCTCTCAAACACTGAGAATAGCAGAGGTTTTTAAAGGTTACATTTCCCAGTGTTGGCAAAAGTACAGTGAAAAGGGTGTTTGCATGTTGCTGATAGAAATACGGATAATGCAAAATGTTAACTAACCTTATTGTGCTAATCATTTCACGGTATATACATATATTAAATTGTCACGTCATACACCCTAAGTTTACACAGTGTGATGTTTGATTTTATCTCCATAAAGCTGGGGGGAAAATACAGGTGATGCTAAAGGGATTTGGGAGGGGGGCATATTTTTTAAATCCCATGCATAGAGAAATACTGAGGAATCAGGTGGCAACCAGGCAATAAGATTTGTTGAGCACTTCTGTGTACTCAACCTAAAAATTGCATGTTTTTATTTAATCTTCATTACAGTCTTGTGATACAATATTAATTCCATTTTACAGATAAACTGAGGCTCAGACAGGCAGCCATTTTCATAGAAGCACAGACTCTGCATGAGGATAATTGTTAAACTAAATGTTTGTGGCAGGCAGTGCTCTCCTTGTTTCTTTCCTCGTGTATTCATTCACCCGCAGTCCTGGAGATGTAGGTGCTGCTCTCTGGGCTTCATAGACAGGAAGCTGGTTGATTTGCCTGTAACCTAGTAAGTGTCCAAGGCAGGATTCAGACCAGGCTCTCGAGTGCCAGGCCTGCACTCTGGATCCCAAAGCCAGGGCTGCTGCCCTTTTTTTTCGTAACATCTTTTTATTGATTTCAGAGAGTAAGGGGGAGAGAGAGAGAAAGAAATATCAGTGATGAGAGAGAATCATTGATTGGCTGCCTCCTGCATGCCCCACACTGGGGATCGAGCCCGCAACCTCGGCATGTGCTCTGACTGTGAATCGAACCGTGACTTCCTGGTTCATAGGTCGATGCTCAACCACTGAGCCACGCCGGCTGGGCAGGGCTTGCTGCCCTTATACCCTTCACTGCACCCATGCGCATGGAACACTCAGTGCTTGAGATTAGGGGACTGTGGGTGATTTATCTTTTATTCTCTTCCATGTTTTTGTGGTGGTTGTGCATTATTATTATTATTATTAATGAACTGTTTAAAGCTACTTATTGTTTGGATTTGAAATTTCTAAATTTGAAGTAAACTATTTGGGAAAGCTTTGCAAGGAGCTTTAGAAGAAAAAAGAAAAACTGCCAGTACATGGAAGTTGTTTTCTAACCTAAATATTTTCAGCTTTCCATTTTCTAGAAATGTATATTCAATGTGATCACCAAAATAGAACTCTGCGGTACTCCAAATGTGTAATGATGTGCAAAAATAAAATGGGGAAATTCTGTAAGTGCCCCGCAAAGGCCGAGTGGATAATAAAGCAGCTGACATAGGCAGATGTCTCATCGTATTATGATAAAAGTGTAGGGAGAGTGAGCTTCACCTAAATACAACTGGGTTCTTTTGTTCTTGTTTTGGTTTTGGTCAGATGTGGTCCTATGGTGTTGGATGCTTTAATCAAGATTAAGAATGAAATGGATTCTACCTTGACCTTCCGAAGATCTTGCAGGGAAGGTAAGCGCTTCCTTCCCTGGTAGGCCCCGCATACTTACGTTCTGGTTCCCGAAAGGCTGGCCAGAGCTGACAGAAATACCTAGAGAACAGCTGCAGGGCTCTGCCAGCTGACCTGGCTGTGCATTGCACTTCCTTTTCTTGGGTAAACGGGTCGGAAATTTTAACCAGTACAAGTTCTGGTTTCTGAGTTTGCTTCGCTTCAAGAGCTTTCTGTCACATGGTTGCCGCATCTGGCGACCCCGACAGCTGCTGCTGCCTTCGAGGACTCGCTCGGTATGCTGGCGGGCTGCCTCTGCCCTGCTGGGCTCATGTATTAGGGGGCAGTAGAGAGAGTCTAACTGGTGCTTATGCGCACGTAACATCTGTCCAACAGGGAGGCGTGTGCGTCCCTCCAGCTCCCAGCATTACATGTGCACAGAGCAGGTGCTCAGTAGGAATGTTCTGGATGGGAACAGCATGTCCCATAGTGTGTTGCTGGTGCCGCATGAGCTGATTTCCGACAGTGTGCACACCAGCCTTTTTTACCTTATAGCTATGTATTTCTTTACATGTTAGAAGAACATAATTACTCCTGACAGCGTAGCAGTGATACAGACATGGTTTTTTAATATGAATTTAAGTAAAAATGATTTGATTTAAAGAAAACTCCTAAATAATTGTTCAGGTGGTACTCAGATGGCAAACATCACACAGGTGTGCCGTGAAGCCCGGCTGGCCTGATGGCCGTGGAGCACAGCGTGTGTGCCAGGCTCCATCCTGTGCGTTCTGTGTGAGATAGATAAGTGCTGCTGCTATTTACATTCCAGGTACAGTGAAGAAACTGAGTCCAGGGGGTAAGAACTTCCAAAAGGACGCACAGCTAGTGAGCTGGGAGCCAGGAGTCAGCCCGAGTTGTCCGATTCCAGAAAGCATTTCAGGCAGCACAGCACAGGCTAACATCACACAGGTGTGCCGTGAAGCCCGGCTGGCCTGATGGCCGCGGAGCACAGCGTGTGTGCCAGGCTCCGTCCTGTGCGTTCTGTGTGAGATAGATAAGTGCTGCTGCTATTTACATTCCAGGTACAGTGAAGAAACTGAGTCCAGGGGGTAAGAACTTCCAAAAGGACGCACAGCTAGTGAGCTGGGAGCCAGGAGTCAGCCCGAGTTGTCTGATTCCAGAAAGCATTTCAGGCAGCACAGCACAGGCGGCACAGCACAGGCGGCACAGCACAGGCATGACAGCACAGGCGGCACAGCACAGGCAGGACAGCACAG